TTCCATCTTGGACTCCCCACATCCTTTCACTTTGGATGTGCAACTCTTTCCATTTTCTTTCAGGGTGTCATTTCTCTTCCTTTGTGCAACTTTTTTTCTTATTTTTTAAATAAAACTATTTTTGTTTTTAAAAACTCAATTTTCGGGTCAGAGAGATAGTGAGGTGTCAAGGTGCTTGCCTTGCATACTGTCAACCCCACTTCAATCCCTGGCACCACATGGTTCCCCAAGCTCCACCAGGAGTGACTCGACCACAAAGCCAGGAGTAAGCCCTGAACACCACTTTCAAAATCAGTGTTCTCAATAAAAAATAGAGCCTTGAAAATAAACTTTGCTGCCCAGAGTAACAATAACAAAATTTTAGGGAAAAACAATCTTCACTTTTGTACTAAGGTTTCTAAACAAAGAGCTGTGGCCCTACATGGCACAAAGTAAAAACCCCATTGACAAATAGAAACTACACAATAATTTGAATCTGCAAAGCTTAAAGAAAGTAATTTTATAGGAGACTAATGGAGCACTGGCTATAAGTAATAACTCTAGGAATTTTAGGAATGACAAATACAGGGAGAATTCACTTTACTCTAAGGCTGAAAAAAGGCCTTTCCCCCACAGGCCGGGGATTAAGAACAAGACCTTGTTAGAAAGTTCGGGGAATGTCTCACAGAACAGCAGAAAAGCAGCTGAGGACCTTGCTGGAAATCTTCCCTATGAAGTACTGGGAAAGACTGGTAAATGGGAAGTGACTGAACCGAGCACCTTGTTTCTGAAACCTACTGTGTGAAAACAAAATCAAATCAAAGCAATTAAAGTGGGTGCAAAGCTCTTGGCTGCTGCATAGCACCGGGTAGGATCAACCCACAGAGGTGATCACAAATCATCCTGTTATTCGTCAATTGCCTCGAGCAGGCCCCAGTAACGTCTCCTTCATCCTAGCCCTGAGATTATATTCAAGGCTCTTTAGGAGAAGGAGACCCATCATTGTTACTGGTATTGGCATATTGGGTACGCCACGGGGAGTTTGCCAGACTCTGCCGTGTGGGCAGGCTACATTCAGTAGCCTGCCAGTTTGTCCAAAGTAGGAATGAGATAATAAGATGTCATAATAAGATGTCATAACACAGGTGATAAACAGGACCAAACATGCTGAGTGCACACTCTAAGGGCGGGGGCGGGGGGGGGGGGCAAAAACCTTGACTCCTGTCCCATCATCTTTCAGTGCTACTCAATGAAACTTAACATTATGTCAATCTGCAAGAGGAAAACATGCAGAAGAACCCAGAGCTATATGCACAGAGTATAGAGAAAAGGGTTAATCCGAATCTCAAAATTTTATGGCACAGTCCGCCCATCTGGTCACTCTCCCTTTCATCTGTGGTCTTCTACACCTCTTAGCTCCTGTACACAACAGAAACAAGAGCACCAGAGGTAGTTTCCCCAGCTCCAGGCCCCAGAGTCCCTTAGTCATAACTTGGGGTTCCTGGTCAACAATCAATCAAAACAATGCTACAATTGGGATATCAACAGGATATTTCTTTCACAGTGCATGAGCTTTCTGAAAATTATTTATCTAACAAGAATTCCCCACATACAGAGAGTTTCATTTGTTTTTTAAGAGCACTAACTGGCACAAGGTAATCTTGGTTGAAATCTCAGGTCTCTTGCTGTTAAATCATAGAGACCTATCATTTCCTTGTCCCTGTGTAGTAAGACAAACTCATAGGGCTACTGAAGAGTAAGTCAATTAAGTGAAAACTAAATCAATTTATCAATATAAGGCAACCAGAACCTAATCTAGTATAACTCAGGAAAGGCTAGCTGCTGTAATTTTTTTCTTATGGAGATTTTCAGTCTCCCCATAGAATATGCACTACTCCATAGGCAAGAGGATTTGTCAGTTTTGTTCACTGAAGTTCCTGGGGAAAAAATAGGTGTTTGAGATAATTTCTTTAATAAATAAACTACCAAAAACAAGCCCTTTATATTAGAATATATTAATGGCATCCCTTTAGGTAAAGACTTCAAGTTTCATAGCTGTGAAACAATTAAAAGGGAAAAAAGAATTCACAGGGGAAAATATGCCAAGTCTCTCTTTAAAACCAACATCAGCAATAATTTTTTTCAGTGTTTTAAACTGCCTGGCTCTGGCATTTACCAACTGCAGAGTCCAGAAAAATCACTGGGCTGGAACCGTTTCATCCTCTTCAAGAAGGGTGATTATTTCAAAGGGATGCTAAAACTTTTTTTTAAAAGTAGTGTATCTAACAGTATCTAGGACAAAGTTTGCTCTCTACCAAATTTAAATATTACTTAAATGCAGCCTCTGGTTTTTCTAGTTTGAGCACTACATAATTGGCCGGCACTGTGTATTCAATCCACCTAAGCTTAAACTGAAGAAGCTCTGCTAAAGGGGAATGGCGGGTAGGGAAAGAGACACAGCAGTATTTTTTAACCATAATGGCAAATTCTGTAATCCCCAAACCTTACAAAGGTTTATATGAAAATAGTACAGGATCGTGTTCCATGCCTTGGAACATAAAAATAAAGCATCTAAGAAGATACAGCTAACAGATATTCAACTATCAAAAATACTAACAGATACCTGACATTAGATTTGATGGTAAATATTCTGAAAAGTGAACCTACCATTTATAAGAATAACAGGAACAGTTCATTCACATTTGCACAATATTGACATCCAGATTTCTAGAAATTAACTTCATCAATTCCTCTATTAATTACTAATTACTATTAATTTCCTCAAATTGTAAAAGCTATTCAGTGAGACATAATCATGAAGTACTGGTAACACCACCACTAAAAGCTATTTTCAATGACAACAACATCTCTTTTATTTACCACTGGAAAGTACCAATTCATTCGGAAATTACCGAGAGAAATAGTTTTATCATGCCTCAAAATACAGAGTAGGGAAATTTAACTTTTTTTTTCTGATTTCAATTCAATAAAAAAAATTCTCAAGTTCGTGGAAGACTTGAAACACTAGCTCCACAAAAATATAAAATTACAAACGTTGAAAGTAGAATATATGTCATCCACTAAAAGCACAACTAGTTTAACGGCAATGGAAATTTCATTCTTTGAGACCCCAAGATGGGAGTTTCATGATCTAGAGAATTCTGCCCCCTCTCACCCACACCCGCCACACACACACACAACATCCAGTTATCTAAGTGGGCACACCTAGAACCAGAGAGGTAGTGGTTGTTCTCATCCATCCCATCCCACCCACCACTCCCACTCCAAAATAATCAGCTAACCAGAGAGAATGTGGCTTAGAGCTGATCTCTGCTTTTGTGAAAAACTCCATTATCAGAAAAATTATTTGACATAATGCTCTTCCATTCAGTATCATGTGAGCGACACTTTCATTTATTTTTTTTTAAAGCCACTGCAGAAGTTGCCAGTTTCAGGTCGGCTCCCTTTCCATAACCTTCCTCTTTTTCATTCATTTTTTTTTTTCCTTTTGGTTTTTTGGCCACACCCGGCAACGCTCAGGGATCACTCCTGGCGGTGCTTGGGGGACCATATGGGATGCTGAGGATCAAACCCCGGGCCTTCCCTGCCGGACTCTCTCCAGCCCCCATTCCATTCCATAACCTGCTCACAGGAGCAGTGGGTCGTGGAGGAGGAAAGGTAGTGACTGCACAGAATCACCCCATACTTCATCCAAGTCTTCACCGGGAAACTTGGGGATGTTCACCACCACCACCACCACCGACAGCGTACGGGAGCGAAAACGAGCAAACCAAGCTACTAAGAGCAGGAATGATGAATCACCCCAGCGGAGTTAAAGGGAAACAAAAAGTATGCCACTAACTACCGTGTTAGTTAGTAACGCACTCGGGAGAGGGGTTTGGTTGAAACTGTGTCCGCTTCCCCCTCCCTCCCCCGCCTCCCAGTCGTATAACTCTCGTTGTGTAACAGATTTTTAATGGGTAATGCTGGGGTCCCCGGCCGAAGTGTGGGTAACACAGCTGAGCTGATCCGCCCGGTTCTCCCGAGCTCAGCAGTCACCTTCCGGGCGAACAAGTGTTTTCCACCTCGTGCAGTTTGGAAAAAGCTCTCCAACACTTGTCGAGTTCTGAAGAAGCCAGCCCCCTCCGCACTATCACATGCAAAACGCCAAATCGGACAAACGACCTTAAACTTAACCTTTCAACACCGACAACAAACAGGGCAAAGGGAGAGCGGTCCGGTCCAGCACGATTTGGGATAAGAAAGGGGTAGGACTCAAGGTGTTTCACTAATAAAAATTAAAAAAAAAAAAAAGAAGAAAGGGGTAGGAGGGAGAGGGGGGTCTCCTAAAAAAAAAAAAAAACAAAAAAAAAAAAAACAAAAAACGGGGTAGGGGGTGAAGGTGTGGGAAGGCTCCTTATAACCCCCCGGAGGTGCGGGCTGGACCAGCGCAGAGCGATTTCTCCAGCGGTCGTGACATTCTGCAAGCCTCGGTGGCAGCCCCGGGGTGCGGCTGCGTCTCCTAAGCTTCAGCCCTGAGGACCCAGCACTCCAGCACTTCTCCGGGTGGAAGGAGGGGGGAGCCAAGCACAGGCAAAAAATTTTTTTAAAAATTAAAAAAAAAATTTTTTTTAAGTGGGGCCCAGTGGGGATTGTGTGGAGAGCTCAGTGGTCCGGCCGTGCCACTGAGGCACGTCCGACGCGGGTTGACAAGGGAGCTTTTGCACGACCCTCCCAAATCCGAGCAATGGGTGAACTCGAGGGTCGGCTGCCTCCTCCTTCGCTGCGTCCTCCGAGACAAAGGGCGGCGGGTGGAGAGCAGCCCCCCCACACCAGCACACACACGCCGCCCCAAGAGCTGCGGCGCCGACCCCCGCCGCGCAGCCCCCAGCGGGTGCGGGACGAGCCTCGCGCACAGCCCGGAAGTACTCCGCGCTCCCCCCCAACCCCACCCGCAAACGCGGCCCGTCCTGACCCTCGCCCCCACCCGTACGGCGCCCGCGCCCCGCAGCCCCGCTCACCCTGGTGATTGAACAGCCTCCAGATCCTGGTGAAGAGAATGCCCATCCTCGGGCGGGGGGGACCCCCGCCCCCTCCACCCGCCACCCCGGGCCGCCCGGCCTCCCCGGGGCTCAGGCGGACGGGGAGCAAAGCGCCGCGCCGGAGCCGCCTCCGCCTCTGCTGCTTCCCCCGCGCTGGACGCCGGCCCGCTTCCTAGGAACCGGAGGGAGGCCGAAGCCCAGGTCGCCCTGGCGCGCGCGAGGCCCTGCCGCTGCCGCCGCGGCACTCGCCTGGCGCGCGGACATCGCCGCCGCGTTGTCTGCGACGAGCCTCGCGGGCCACCGTCCTCCCCCGGCCGCTCACGGGCGGCTGCAGCGGCGGCGGCGGCGGCGGCGACCACGCGGGCGGGGGCGGCGGGGGCGGGGCCAGCGCGGCGGCAGGGCGCAGGCGCGAGGGCGGGGCCGCCCGACTGACTCATTTGCATATCGGGGCGACCTCAGGGCCACGGGGCTGAGTCCCGGGAGCCTGCCTGGCCTTGCGGCTTGGGGGATGGGACAGATGGCAAGCTGCGGCTTGCTGTCGTGTCCCGCCTGAGTGTTGCTTCTCCCTGTATTTTTTTCCCAACACCCATAAACATTACATGGGATTGGTCTTGGGAAATGTACATGCTCGAGGGGACGGGCGTTGGAATGTTGTATGTAGGACTGAAATCCTAACATGAACGACTTTGTGTCTCACAGGTGAGTCCCTTAAACTAAAGACGTCCTATCGAGGGCTCCATGGTCACGTCCCTGAAGTTTCAACACCTGCCTCAACACTATGGCATCTCACTGAGGTCTTGGAGGGGAGCTTGGCAACTTTCCCAAGCCTCTTGGACGGCTAACTGAAGTCTGTTGGGGTTTGACTGTCCCCGGATTCTTCCCTCCCCAGTCTCCTTCTGCTTTCAAGTCAGCCTTGTCCAAACATGGCTTCCATCTAAGTTACTTACTTCTTGCAACACCTGAGTGACCGCTCAAGCAGAGTTGCAAAGTCCAGATACTATTTAGCAGTTAACTCTCTTTGGGCAAGATGGCCTCACTGTCCTTTCAAACTGTAACTCCAATCTCAAGCTTAAGAATTAGTGTCTGTGCTTTCGGTCTTGAACATGTCTGTATAATCCACGTGCCATATCATGCAAGTGTCACACCCTAATCAGCCCTCCACTGCAGATATTTCATTGAAAATTACAATATGTGTGTGGTTTTTAGTTTTTTTAGCGGGGGGGGGAGGACAGCCACACAAAGCTATTCCCAATCTGTCACTGGGGTCCCTCCCAGGCATGAGATACTAGGGTTCAAACCAGCCCTGCACCCCATGCATAGTATGTACTCTAAACTCCTTAGATTATATGAATCTTAAGATAACTATGCTTCCTAATTCTTCCTTGGCTTTTTTTTTTTTTAATCTGGGCAAGTTACTGAACCTTTTTGGATCTTGATTTTCACATATGTAAAAGCAGGATGTTTGTGTTTAGGGTCTTTGATTTTTTTTTTTTTTATCTGAGAACAGTGATAGTCTTTATTCTTGTTAAAGGCAAAAGGTGAGGAAAAAAGAAACTGAGGTGGATCACTTAGTCACTTCCACAAAGAAACCATAAACTATTCCACCTTTCTCAATTCTCCTTAACTTCAGGGAAAAGGAGGAAAAGAGGAACATGGGAAGGCTGGATAAGGCAGTTTGAACTGTTTTATCCCCAACCTCTCTCCACCTGCAAAAGCTGAATGAATTTTCTAAAAATCAACAATGTACTACTTCTTTTTGCCTTCTCTTTATTATGCATTCTTCTTTATGTGTGTGTATTTTGTTTGTTTGCGGGTTCCAGAGTTCTAAGAGGCTGCTAAATTGTGTGAGGCAGAGAACTGAAGGGAGGGAAGTACATAGATTAAAGGTCAATAAATCTGCATACTTCGAGTCAGTGCATTTTTGGCTGACTATCAATCTCGATGTGTAGAATATGAAACCCCATGAAGCTGGCCAATAACTTTTGTTTCTGAAGAAAAGAAAAGCAACAAAACAAGTAATTTCTAGAGCATGCAGAGGATCAAGAATCCTTTTAGTTTCCCTCAACCACAATGAAGGGGATTTCCTGAGCCATTCACCATACAGCCCAGAGAACTTATAACAGGTTAACCCAAAAATAAGTGCTATCTAAGGTATTAAAGGTATTTAAAAACAAACTTGGCAGTAATCAAAATAATCCACAATTACCTGACAAAACATAGCCAAATTTCTTTAATAGAAGTATAGATCAAGTCAGGCTGGAGCGATGGTACAGCGGGTAGGGCGTTTGCCTTGACGTGGCTGACACATGTCCCTCTCAGAGAGCCCAGCAAGCTACTGAGAGTATCCCGCCAGAAGGAACCCCTGTGCATCACCTGGTGTGGCCCAAAAAGAAAAAAAAAACTTATTGAGTAGGGGCCAGAAAAATAATTTGATGGGCTGGAGTGTATGCCTAGCATGAAAAGACACCAAATTTGATCGCCCAATGGTGCATCGTCCCATGAGCACCACTGAGTGTGCCATTGGGGTCCATAAACACCATTTGGTGTGACCCTGGGAACATCCAACACTGTTAGGCCTGATTAGCTCTGTACCATCTGGCTGAATATTGAACCCTGATCTGACCCTCATAACTATCACTGGAAGAGGCCTCTAGACCCAGTGAATATTGCTTGGGAGAACCTCACCCCAAATTACTGGACTTGTCACTTCAAATAATAGGAAAATGTGACAAAACCAAAAGAAAAATCACTATACAGAAACATCCAGGTACAAAGAAGTGAATTGCCCCAAGTTCATAGCTGATTACAGCTGGGTCTAGATTTAGAACCCAAGCAAAGGTTAGGCACTTCAGCGAGAAAAATCAGATGCTATTACCTCTAGGAAAAATCAAATGTGCCTCTTCACATTGCATTTTATTAGTGGAGAGTGGCTGATGATGAGCAATAACTTCAAGCACCTGGCCAGGTTGATGGAGTGACTTCCCTGGGCTGCAGTGTTTTGGATTGTTGGCTGAAATGTCTTGGTAGTTGGGCTGGTCTTATTTGTACTTCTCTAATTACCTAACACTTACTACATTTCAGGAAATGCTTTGAATACTTCAGATGACTACTTAGCTCTACAGCACTTAATATATATATTATTGATTGACTGATTGGGTTTGGGGGTCATATCTGGTTATGCTCAGAGGCTACACCTGGCTCTGAGTTTTAGGATGACCCCTGATGGTGCTCAGGGAACTAGAGATTAAACCTGTTGGCCATAAAAAAAGGAAACTAAATCCTGTACTATTTCTCCAGCCCTAATAATCTGTATTATATAAAAATACTCCTAATAATGGGAAAACAAAAGGATTCAGCTGCATTGGCAGATAGGGACAGAAGTCTAAACAAGCCCTTAAGTTCAAAATTCTTAAATCTGGTTGAAAAGGAACGCATATCACACTCCATACATTGACAATGGAAAGAAGCAAACGCTGGAAGAGAAAATTGAACAACTAAAAGAAGAATTCATTCATAATATGGGGGGGAAATCCATATTGAGTACAATAGCAAGCCGCAGGAGCAGTTCTGAATGTGGAAAACCTTATTAGCAAATTTGAACATTAAATATGAGCCAGCAGCAAAAATGAAGTGACTAAAAAGAGAAGTAAAAGAATAGAGGAGAATATAACTACTTAGTAACAGCAAACGGAATAATCTCCAAATTGTAGGAAGACCAGGAGAGGAAAAGAGGGAAAAAAAAAAGAATGACTTGTAAGAATAATGACTATAATTAGAGAGAGAAAAAGGGAAATTGTCACTGACACCCAAGGACAGTAGACAGAAGGACCAGGAATATTGCTCCATAGTTGGAAGCCTGCTTCATGAGCTGGGGGAAACGGCAGCTGGAACAGAGAAGGGATCATGAAATCAATGATGATTAGAGAGATTGTTTGGGATAGGACATGTGTGCTGAAAGTAGATAAAGGACCAAATGTGATAGCCTCTCAGTATCTATATTGCAAACCATAATGCCCCAAAGTAGAGAGTATGAGGGAAACTGTTTGCTATAAAGGCAGGGGGCGGGGTAGGCTGGGGTGGGGGTGGGGGGATACTGAGACATTGGTGGTGGAAAATGTGCACTGGTGGAGGAATGGGTGTTCAATCATTGTATGACTAAAACTCAAACATGAAATCTTTGTAAGTGTAGCTCATTCAATGTAGGTGATTTAATTAAAAAAAAAAAAGACTGGTAAGAGACACATTATAATTCTCTTGGATGAGAGCAAAAAATGATACAACATAGCCATGCTGCCGGACCCTGCACCAAGCTGTTTCATTCAGGGCACCCAGGTGGGGAGCGGGTGAAGCCCCTCCCCACCCCAAGGGACCCAGCCCCTGCAGCTGTAAACCTCCAGAACTCAACCACCTCCATACTCAGAGCTGTTCTCCACATGCTTGGACAAACCTCACCCCTGAGTAAACATATTCCTGGACCGAGAAGCTGCATCTCATACCTCATACCACTCATATTCCAAGAGTAGTGCACCACATTTGATGGGGTTTAAAGTAGGAGGCAACAAATCTTAGAGGGAAATATATTTTTGCAGACATATACATATGTATACACACACATATATGTGTATATGTATATAAGCACACAAGCCTCAGCCTTTAACAATATGTTAGTAATCTCTTATAGAAGGGCTTAATGGCCCCTGGGTGAAATACAATAATCTTCAATCTTCACACACTTTCCTCTAAGGAAACTTTTTGGGAGCATTTTCAGTGGTTTGTTTATAACAAACAATACAAAATAAATTATTTTAGTTCTGCTTTTGGGCAGGGTGGGGGTTCAGGATAGAAACATCTGAAATATGGTGATGGGAAGGTATAATGGTAGTGGGATTGGTGTTTGAACAATAAATATAATCAAATATTGTGAAAAAATGACTGGTAAAATAAATAATAGTTCATAATATCCCTGGTTTCTAGAGGGAGGCTTCTGCACAGAATCAAGATGGATGGAAAATAATCATACAAGCCAACAGTAAACAGAAGCTGGAAGAGATGTACTTACAACAGACCAAATAACTTTTGACCTGAGGAAAAGTAAATGGACGGGGGCTAGGCAGAGAGATAATACAGCTGGTAAGGCATCTGCCTTGCATGCAGCTAACCTAGATTTGATTGCTGGCATGCCATATGGTCCCCCGAGCACTGCCAGGAGTAATTCCTGAGTACAGAGTCATAAATAACCCCTGAACACTTATAGGAGTGGTCCCCCCAAATTTTTTTTTAAAAATTTAAAGTAGAGATA